TCCTTACTGTCCACCATCCTTTCATCCTGAGACTACCTCCCGCTTTTCCAGGCCACAGAGGTCATATTCCCAACGCCAGGAGCAGCGGCCTGCAGACAACAATTTACTGAGGGTAAACGGCCCTTTCGTGGGGGAGCGGATCGTTCCTTCCGTTGCTCTAATTAACCCCTCGTTCTCCCCACCCATCGGAGGTCACTTGGCCTTCTTTGCCTCCAGATGGCAGGAGTCAACGATGGACGCCTGGGTACTCAATACAGTAAGGTCAGGTTTACAGGTGGAATTTCTCTCGCCACTCCCAGAAAATTTTGTGTTCTGTCCCGTTTCGCGGGACAGTTCAAAAAGGCCCCTAATGAAATCAACCATCCAACACCTTGTAGACATAAGGGCCATTCAACCAGTCTCCGAACATCAAGGGGGCGAGGGTTTTATTTTCATGGTCCCTAAGGCCTCGGGGGGTGGGGGGTGGCAAGCCATTCTCGACCTAAAATTTCTTTTTTTTAAAGATTTTTTTATTTTTAAACAAACATACACAAACAAAACATAAAACCATCTTCCAGTTACATACATACAGTGTGTTGGTTGGTTACAAATTCTTTGTGCATCCTCTCCGTAGTCTTCACTTACAATTGTTTGTATAAATTCTCATATTATCAATCTAATATATATGTATACATGTTGTGACTCGGAGGTTTGAGCCTGCTCTGTCAGAAGACATAGGCTCGAGTGATGAGGAAGATCTGGCATTAAGGTTTGAGCCTGCTTTGTTGAGTGACATAGACGGGAGTCAGGAGGAAGAGGAGGACTTGGCTCTAAGATTTGAGCCTGCTTTGCTGGAAGTTTCGGAGTCATCTTCCTCCCCAGAATTCCCTCCCTGATTGTGCCTCAGGTGTCGGCAGATAATCAGGAGAGCGTGCCGGAGTCATTGGCTGAAGATCAAGCCGAGAAATGCTGGTCTGATGCAAGGCAAAGACGCAGGCAGAAACGTGACATACAACGTAAAAAGAAAAGAGACTGACACGCCCCTCAGGGAATATAAGGAGGCGTGTTAGCTCTGAATCCCTGTTCAGGTCAACTTGCTTATTTGAGTTATCAGTTCAGACAAATTATTCTGTGTGGCGCTCGCCTCTGATTTATGGTTCTGCTCGTTATCAGACTTGGTAGGCAGCTTCTGGGAAAACTGCCAAAGACGGATTCCACCAAAGGAAGTTAACTCTGTCGTTCCTGTTCCTGTCTGTTTGTGTATTTTCCTTTGGAAATTTGGACTCTCACCTTGTGTCTACAGGTGAGACAGAACATTTTTGACCCGAACCTTTACACCATCTTCTGACCAAGATGGATAACCAACAGCAGCAGCAGCAGATTAATCAACTTCTGCATGATAACCAGGTTTTGCAGCAACAAGTCACCCAACTGGTTAACCAACTTACGTTGCTGCAAGCTCCTGCTGCTGCTCCTCCTGCCCCTCCCCGTAGGAAATGCCCGGTAGCTGTGCCGGATAAATTCTCTGGACAGCCTGAAATGTTCCCGGCTTTCATGGGGCAGTGTCAATTATTTATGTCTCTGCGGCCAGAAGATTTCCCTGATGACCGGGCTCGGGTGGGGTTTGTTATCAGTCTTTTGTCGGGTTCGGCTGCTAGGTGGGCCACTCCTTTATTGGTGCAAAATAGTCCCTTACTAACTGACTATCAGGGCTTTTGGCACCATCTACGCTCGATGTATGAGGACCCCATAAAAGCTCAGACCGCTGCCAGATGCTTAAAGGAACTTCGCCAGGGGAAACGCCCCTTGCAGGAGTTCATTTCAGAGTTTCGACTGCTTTGCTTGGACTCTGCCTGGAATGAGGCTGCTCAAATGGATGCCTTCCAAGATGGTTTGTCGGAGGACATACAAGATGAGTTGGTGCACGTGGAGCCGGCCCTGACCCTTGATGTTCTGGTGGTGCAATGTTTGCGCGTTGACGCCCGGCTTCAACGGTGCAAGACTAGACGCCCAGTTCCGAAGCAGCCATCCACCTCAAGGCCACAGCATCCTGTACAACCAGCGTCCCAGGTCTTCCACAGTGCCGTGGCCAGGGCCGAGAAGCCGATGGAGTTGGGTGTGGTCCGACCTTGTTTGACAGCCCAAGAACGTACCTGGAGACTTCAAGGAGGCTTATGCCTGTATTGTGGGGGGCATGGACATTTTGTGAATTCATGTCCTGGTAAACGACGGGGGGCATGCAAGCCAGTGCCCGAATCAAACCTTTTACAGTCGGAGAAACGGGGCAGGCCCGGCCTCGGGGAAACCCTAGGTCGGGCACGTATTAGTCAACCGCCCGAAGTGGTGGAGGTGAACTCTGGTTCCCCTCGACATTTACTTTTAGACACGGGGGTTTTCTTGCAGTCCCGGTCGGAGGGGATTCCTGCAGTTGCGTTGGTGGATTTGGGGGCTACTACGTTTCATGGACCAGGCCTTCGCAACTCATTTTGACGTCCCTTTGGTTGCGGTGGAGCCTCCAATCAAGGTGGAAACGATTGATGGGCGGGAGCTTCGGGCTGGGCCCATTCGTTTCACCACCCAGCCGTTGCGCCTGGCTATTGGGAACCATGAGGAGGCGATTAGTTTTTACATCACTGCAGACCTCCATCTCCCTTTGGTTCTTGGTATGGCCTGGCTACGGTTACACGATCCTCTGGTGGCTTGGGCGCAGAACGCCATTTCGTTCCCGAGCCTCCAGTGTGTGGACCAACTAAGACACACCTGTGCTGGCCAGGACATCGCCGCCCCCGCCCTCTCCGTACCTCCTGAACTATCTGACTTCTCTGATGTTTTTAGCGAGAAGGAGGCGGATCGGTTACCCCCGCATCGACCCTATGACTGTCCCGTGGACCTTCTGCCTGATGCCCCACTACCCAAGGGACGCCTGTATTCTATGTCTGAGCCCGAATTGGCTGGTGTGTTTTGGAAGGGAGAAGGCTGTTTCCCGTGCTGGGGTTTGCATGGTGGCAGCAAGAGACTGCGGGATTTATTTTTATCTCCCTTCCAAAACATACTGGGACGCCACCGGCACTGGCAGAGGCAGAGGGTAATCTGATCAAGTGTGTGTGTGTGTGTGTGTGCGCGCGCGCGCGCGCAAAAGAGAGAAAGATACTTCCACGGGAATGTCTTCCCAGCATCCCTTTGATGGCCGTCCCCTCTCCCCCGCACAGTTCCCAGGGAGGGAGAAGGGCGAGAAAGGAATGGGAACAAACGGAAAGGATGCCTGGACTCGCAGGCACTTTGTTTTGTTTGCACACCATGTCTCCTGAGAGGCCTCGTAGACAGGCTGTTGAGCTCCTCATCCTTAGCTGCTGAATGGAGGGCTAGGCTGGGTTGAAGGAGAGGGGAAAAGAGTGGGGGGGGGAAACAAGCCTGTGCCTGCTGCCGATGCCACCTGCAGCGGTCCCAATTGCTGAAAGCAAGCGGCTAGCACATCCAAAACAAAAAGCAGGACCTGCCTGCTGCCTCTTGCACTACAGAAGGTGGCGAAATGCAGAGAAGAAAGAGTTTGTGAAAGAGCTGGGAGGCATTTCAACAGCAGGTCAATCCCAGTCTTATTCAGATCACATTCTGGCATGTTTTGGAAGGGAGGAAGGCACAGCTGCTATTGCCTTTGCTCAGGTTTGCAAGGCATTGGCGAGTGATTGCAGGCTTTAGTTTTATTTCCCTTCCAAAACATGCTGGGACGGCACAGGGCCTCCCATTCCATGTCCAGCAGCTGCTACAAACACATTTCGGAAAAGAGCCAAATCCTTTTCGCTTTTGACGTGCTCGCCACTCGCTTTCAGCAATTGACACGAGCAGCTACCCATGCTGCTGCTGGCCTTGTGAGCGCTCTTCGCCTTCCTCACAGGGCTGCTCTCGGCCACCCTGCTGGGCTGCTCCTGGATGAATCGGCCAAGATCTACGACCTCTGGAGTGCCCCCCCTCCCACTGGTGGAGCTATGCCGCTTCACCTGCTGCCACCTGCAGGTTGCTAAGTGCCTTCTGCAGGTCTACTCATTGCTCCAGGCTACAAACTGAGCCTAGCACTCTTCAGGCCCTGGCGGGCACCAGCTCTCGTGCTGGCTGTGTGAGGAGGCATGGGTGGCGCAGCTCCACCAGCAGCAGGGGGGCACTCTGGAGGTCATAGATCTGGGACGACTCGCCCTGCACCAAGCAGGAGCAGTCCAGCAGGACGGCTGAAAGCAGCACTTCCAGGAGAGCGAAGAGTGCCCGCAAGGCCAGAGCAACACAGTCAGCTGTTCAGCAGCCAGGCAGCAGCAGGGCCAGCAAGCAGGGCGGGCGGAAGCCAGGGTGCAGAGAACTTGGGTTATTGCAGCCGCAGGCAAGCTGGTGGTGGGTTGGAGAGGGTGGGACCGGTGGGCTTACTGCCTCCTGTACATGTAAAAAATAAGACCTCCTTGAAAATAAGTCCAAGTGCTTATTTTGGGACTTAAAACAATATAAGACCCGGTCTTATTTTTGGGAAAACATGGGTAGGTGTCTTTTGTAGCTGAATTTCTTTCTGTCTAATTTTGTCCAATGTTCTTTGCATCTTTTCCTGGGATTTTTTTTCTTCTCGAAGCGATTGTCCTGTATAAAATAGCCTCTCATAACTGCTTTGCTAGCATCCTATCCTGTTGTTAAACTTGTCCCTTTCCCCAAATTATTCTCAACGCATTCCTGCAGTTACTTTTTATAATTCCTTACAATCTTTTCCTTTTGTAAAACAGCTTCATTGAATCTCCATCTGAAACTCAAACTCTTTTCTCTTCAAGCCAAAAGTACAGTTTAATTTTTTAAATAATGCACTGGAGAGTATTTACCTATTTTTGATGTTGAATAAGTTTCTAAAGGAAAAATGCTAAATATCTCAGCCTTTGGATGTTTAAAAATAACTATTGCAAGTTTTGCATATTAATTCATAGAAGTGTTTTATTTAGTTCATGTTAATAAATAGTTAAACATATATATTTAACTGATAACATCTTTATTTTTAGTGTCATATAGAAGAGATGAAATGTGGTCAGAGCGGTATGACTATGAAAGATTACCACGAGAAAGACTTCCTCCACGTCCTGACGTAAGCAGATTGCTAATAGTTATGGAGTTTCTCTTTTTAATCTTTTTAGCTGTTGATCAGAAATTTAAATTTATGATCTCAAACACATGGGGATTACAGTACACACATGGACGGACACTCAATTAGGAGGCCTACGCTGGTTCACAATGCTGTGTTTTATAAAACTTGGTATCATTCCTAATATGGTCTTTCTTAAATACCTATGTTGAGCTTTGTAAAATGCTGTTTGATAGAACTTTTATCTTGATCATATGAGTCGCTTATCCTAGAATGGACAAGCAAGAAGGAGAAACAAATCTTTATATTCAGTCTGTATCCGCCTTTTTTTTCTCCCAAAGTGTTTTTTTTTCCAGTTCACAGCATTCTCTTCCATATCAGTGGATAAAAATCGGTATAGCATCCCCCTCTCCCACCATTTCTCACACATACACAAAAGTTCCTTTTAAAATTTGAGAAGTAACAGAAATCCTAATTCCACCCATGATGATGATGCGGCCTGGCTCACTTTGCTTCTCCTCATCCACTGTGGTAATTGTTTGTTTATTTGTATCCCGCCTTCATTATTTTTACAAATAACTTAAGATAGCGACCATATCCAACACATACTTTCCTCCTATTTTCCCCAAAATAACAACCCTGTGAGATGGGTTGGGCTGAGAGTGACTGGCTCAAAGTCATCCAGTTGACTTTAATGGCTAAGACGGGACAAACTGACCTAATTGTCTTTACCAGAAAATTATTAATTGGAATCTCTTGCCTATCCATGGGTTATTTGTTGGATTCTAATGTAGATGAGTTGAGTTTGGCTTTTTTTTTTGCTTTGCTTTGCTTTGCTTTTTTTTAAGCAAGCTTCCTTTCTCCAAGGCAATCTTTCCAGCTGTCTCAAAATAATACTGCACAGTGTAAATGTAAGTATCCCTAAGCTGGACAAATACAGGTTCCCTGAGGGTCTGAAGAGGAACAGAGAAAACAGGGAGGTGGTTGTTACAAGCCCTGGCCTGTGCCTTATTTTTGGTTCGATTTTTAAAAACTGCATAAACTAATCATTTCCTCTATTCAAAGGCAGATTTTCTTATTTATTTCATTGGATAGCTCAGAGAGCAGTCTCAAATTTGTACCACCATTCTTTGTATTCCACTAGAAAGTCTATGTTTATTCAGGATGATGCCAATAGCAATGTTTATTTTGTACAGGAAAAGATTTTTTGTTTTTACGTGCCATTATTTTTCCCATATATGCTATTATTATTTTTTTAATCCTATTTAGTTAGGTCCAAACAGTTACAGCTAGGTAATTTAAAATTTTATAAACAATTTTCAAATAATGGTAAAGATTTTATAATATGGTGGTTGATACTAAATTTGTAGAAAAACAATTAGTTCAAGTATTTGTTCATTTTTTATGAGCCTAGTATCATTATTGTTCAGTTAAATACATATTTTGAATCTTATTAAGTTCTACTTCATCTGCTCTTTAACAAGAGGCATGAACTAAAATAAGAAACATTGATTTCTAATGTATTTACTGGCTTTATTGAAACTTCAATATCCATGTTAATCTTTGAGATTATTTTTATTATTTATAATTTTTAATGATTGGCACTGTATATAATTTTAGGATGACTACCATCGAGTAGTCAGTTTTGCATCCAAGAAACCATCACTTCCAGAAAGATCTGGTGAAGAAGGCTATAATAGATATGAATATGGCCATGCTCATGTAGGCTATAGAGACTATGGTGAAGGTCGAGGTTTTGCCCACGAACGAAGAAGTGGACTACCACATAGAATTGTGAGTTTCCCTTTCCTGATGAATATGTGGCTGGAAGTTAAATGTTCCACAATTGTTAGGTACAGCCCTGTGTTACATTAATAGCACTTAAAAATAATTTGGATGTTTAAATGTTATACTGTAACTCTATGAACATACTGTACTAAATCAATTGTGCTTTTGAAATATGCTTAAAGCTTCCATCTCTCTGGAGAAAACATGAGAAGGAGCAATGGGCTTCAGAAGAGGAAGAGAATTCATTCACAAATATTGTCTGAAGGCAAATAACAACATTGGATACCTAGCAATTACCAGTCTGTTTTAATGATATATTGGCTATTTCTTGTACAATATGATGAATCAGCCTCTTATTTTTGCATTTAATATTTGTTCAGTTGATATTTCTGTTTCCCTTAAAATACGAGGGCTATTCACAAAATAGATTACGTTTTGCGATAGAAAAAAAACAAAGTGTAGGGAAAAAAAATTATTATATACACTTGAAAGTGACACTTAAATACTACTTTTCAACATATTCACCGAACAAATTGAGGCACTTATCATAGCGGTGAACAAGCTTTGTAATTCCATTGTCATAAAATTCAGCCGCCTGGTGCAAGATCGGGGCTGTAGGGCGGATGAGGCAAAATCTCCCACTTGAAAGCATTCAGGACTTCTCGAGTGCGATTTGCTGTGTGGGTTTATGGTTTTTTGCCAACAAAAACCTTATCACTGATCGCACCTCACAACTCGCGGGATTTTCAATTGCAGCACACATTTCAAACGTTTGCTGTGAAATAACGGGCAACAATACGAACCTCCCACTAGCACGACTAGATTCAGATTGAGCGGCGGACGCACAGACCAAAGATGGCCGCGCTAGCTCTGCCCCTTCTTGCTACAGACGAAAACATAATCTATTTTGTGGATAGCCCTCGTACATTAAATACATTTTAATGGCATGTTAAATTTCTTTTAATCGATATTTTTTGAAGAAATTATAAAAACTATTTTTTTCAGTGGTGTTTCACAGTATCTTATTGCTATTAGCTTCTTGAAACTAATTTTTTCTTTATGCTGAAATATTCCATTGTAGGATGATCCAGGATATAGATGGTCAAGAGAAGAACATTCTGAAAGTCGGCCAACTGATTATAGGTATTGTTTTTCAATTTAGCTGCATAAAGTTCTGAAGTCTCTAGAATAAAAAAATGGAAACAGTTTGTGAACATTTAAATTAACCGGTACTCTGAGATTTGAATATAGGCACCCAGGAGAGTCCAGCAAATTGAAGTCTTCAGTGACAGATGGTTGCCAAAAAAG